CCACCCGATAGAGGCAGCGTGGCCGGCGCCCGAGGCCCCTGAGCCGTGGGGACCCTGCTGCGCCCCCCGCGGGCCGGGCCCCGCCCGAGGGCGCGGAGCGCGCTGATTGATACATAAAATAAGTGGCAGATTAATGAGCTGCTTGCGAAGTGCTCTGCACTCTCGGGCTACATAAGTAGAGATGCTGTAGGTTCTGTAATAAATTCCCCGGGACGCTGCCCAGCCCCACCGCGTGGATGTCACCGAGTTCACCCTTCGGCCCTGGCGCCGGCAGCCACGTCTTAGAGCTGCCCCTTCTTAGAGCGGCACAGTGTCCAGAAAAACCCTGCGCTGCGCTGTCACCAGCCTACGCGACCTGCCTCCCTCTGTGGCAGCCAGGCTGGGGGAGGCCCCCCGGGAGGCCTGCCCAGCGTCCGGGCTGTGTCACTCGGTGGCGGTGGAGATCCGGGTGGCAGTGGGTGGAAAATCACCCTTCTCGGCTTAGGTCACAGTTTCAGTTCCCGTCTTCCACTGACATTGTTGTCACTAAGTGGGGACTGAGGTGGGCCCCCTCATGCCTGTTCTAGTTTTAGACCTACCACTAAGTAGTTATGAGGAGACAGGGAAATTGCTTACATAATTTTAGGAGACACTATGCTAGTCATGGTCTCTGAAGGACTTGGTCTCTGAAGCCAGATCACCTGGGCTTGTGTCGCTGATCTACTTTTTAGCTGTGTGACCTTGTTCAAGTTACTAAACCTCTCTGTGCCTCACTTTCCTCACCTATAAAATGGAGATAATAGCGGTGTGTGTCCTAGAGGATCGTGAGGATTCAAGGAGACAGTCCGTGCGAATTACAGCGCCTGGCACAGTGAACAGCCGTAGCTGTTAGCTTTTAATTCTCGCTGGCCCCGTTTCCACGTATGAGAAAAGAGAGACTCCAGATGGTCCCTAAAGACCAAGCCAACTCCAAGACTCTGAGTCTATGCTGAAAAGAGACCAAAACTGCTGAATTCAAGATTTGCTTTCTTTTGTTTCCCTTGCCATTCTCTCCAGCGAGGAGGAGCTGCCTCTGGCCAGAAGGCTGGGCCCGGGTTAGAAGAGAGGGGAACTGGGCAAGAGCCAGACAAAGGTTTTTAATTATCCACACACTGGACAACAACCACCTGAAAAGCTCTCGCGTATGTTAGCGGTGGTGTTTTCTCAGTGTCGGCAACTGGAGATATTATGTAATCACAGTGAAAAATACTTTCCCTCTGAGAACACACGGGCCATCCATTCACCGCAGTTTCACAGCAGGAAGAGGGGGGTTAGGGCGACCTGACCTCTTCCCGTCTTCTTAATATGTCTCTTACTTAAGGGAAATGTTATCTTTATCCGAATGACAGCCTCGAAGTCGAGCAGGTTATTTTCTCATACTTTCTTGAGATATATTCATAAACCGTGGAATTCAGCCATTTGAAGTGTATAGTTTGGTGATTTTAGTATATTCACAAAATTGTGCAACTGTCACCACAATCTAAATTTAGAATATTTTTATCACCTCCCAAAACCCAGTACCCATTACCGGTCCATTTGTGTCTGTGCATTTTCCTCTTCTGGACATTTTCGTTTAATGGAACCCACATGTGCCGGAGCATAATGTTTCCAAGGTTCGTCGGTGCTGTGGCGGATTTCAAGGCTCCATTCCTTTTTGTGACTGAGTAATATTCCACTGTGGGAGGGACGCACTTCGTTTATCTGTTAACAGCTGGTGGACGTTTCGGTGGTTTCCGGGTCGGTGTGCTGTGGATGCTTGCCCACTTGCCCGGCATTGCCCTGTTTTTATTTCTCTGGATCTCCCCCGGGGGTGGAGTTGCTGGTCCCTGCTCATTCTGTGGGAGCGTTTTGAGGACCTGCAGGACTCCCAGAGTGGCTGACGCAGGTGTGTTCCTCGGCCGTATCGTAACTGACGTGCGCCCGTCTCCTCTGTGTTCAGGGCTCCACTGGAGGCCTTTGTCTCCTCTGAGCAATATTTACTCTACAAGGAAGGGTTCTGACAAACTCGTGTGGCCTGGCCGCACGCTCAGGGCGGCGGGAAGCTGCGCTCGGAGCGGCGTGCACTCGGACAAGGAGGAGAGTAAGCCGCCGGGAGGGATCGCTGCTGCGGAAGCACCTCCAGCGCCGGTTCCTCGGCGGAAGGGCTCGCAGCAGACGGACAGTTAACGAGGTCGCTGAGGAAGCCAGTGATGCAGATCCTAGCTTGTGTGACTTGAG